CTGCCGTAAAAAGAAAAAAGTGCAAAGTTGGTCATCAAGGCTGCGCGTAAGCAACTGTATAACAACAAGAAGGAGTCGTGTTACGCGTAGTAAGATATTAAGTCACATCTGAACTCTCTTATATTATAATAGTCACAAGGCAGTAAAAAAAACTCCTACATCGCTGGCTGAGTTCAGCGAGCCACCGATTTAAAAAAACATAGGAGAAAATAACTGCCTAAATAGGTAGTATGGTACGATAAGATGCAGTTAGATGGGATCCTGGTGTTGAGGGTTCGGGACGCTTATTGTCGTGATTGCGCAGTGAGGAGAAAACAGTGCGGCGAAGAGATAGTGGCACGAATTTGGGATTTATGTTTGTAAGCGCCAGGAAGGCAATACCTATACAAATGGTTAAAGACTGTTGAGACGTCGCACAGGATAATGCCGTTGCCAATATTCAGTGGCAGTTCCTGGAATTGGAGTCCAGAAACCCACACAGCGTTGTTCGGCAGTCATTGTAGTGAGGTCAATCCCGGAAGTTGCAGGTGGATATTTGAGGGTCGGGGTAGTGCGTCAGCCACCTCATTGTGTGACTCACCAATTTGGCGGGTGTCCGAGGTGAACTGCAACATAAAGTCCAGTTGTCGAAGCTCCTGCGTGTTCAACTTTTCAAAGTGCGACTTCAAGTCGTAGGAAAGAGGTTTATGATCAGAGAAGACGACGGAGTCCCTGCCCTCGAGCAAGTGCCGGGCGTGTTTTAAGATAAGGTTGAAAGCCAGTAGCTCCCCCCCAAATGTGGTGTCACGCGATTCGGCAGGTGTTACCTTCTTGAAAAAGAAGGTCAATGGTAACGTTTGACCTGCAAATATTGTTGAAGAACCCACCTACAGCAACATTAGAGGCGTCAACCATGAATGAGATAGGTGCATCGGGAGCGTAGTGCGTCAGGAGTGTGGCATCGGCCAGAACAGCCTTCATTTTGTCAACGGAAGCGATAGTGTCTGCGGGTAGCTCAAATGTACGCTTGGAAGAAGAGAGAACATTCGTGAGCAAGAAAATGGTGTCAAAACATTCGGAACAAACCGGTAATAGAAGTTTACTGTGTCCAGAAAACGCTGAAGCTAACGAATCGATTAGGGAAGTGAGAAGTCACGGATGGCTACAACTTTGGCAGTCAGATGATGGATACCATCAGAGTGGAGCAGATATCCAAGGAACTCGAGGGAAGACACACAGGGTACTCACTTAGACGGGCTGAGGACAATGCAAACTATTGAAGACGGTCAAACACCGTTGTCAGATCTTCCACGTGTTACTTGGCAGTAGAGCTGGCCACTAAGATGTCATCAGTGCAGGTAGAGACGAAAGTTAGGCCATGGAGCATCGTATAAACGAAGCTCTCGAGGGTTTAGGAGGGGCTATGGAGTCCAAACGGCATGCACAGGAACCTAAAGAGGCCAAATGGGATGGTGACGGCCGTCTTCGAAACATCCTTGGGGGAGATAGGAATTTTATAGAAGGTACGAACCTGATCAGTCTTCGAGAACACGGACTTGATCGCATCGAACAGTCACCAATATTTAGGAGTCCAAGCCGTGAGTGTGCTCAGAGCACTCCAAATATCATGCCCAGTCCCATATAGGAAGAGTAGGGGCAATAACTTCTCGACAAATTGTAGACCAGAGCCAGTTTGTTTTCCACCAATTGTCCCTCTCCTGCAGGGTCCTTTTCCGCCTCGAGGTCTTCATTTTTATAAATACTGATGAGCGTAACCTGCGTCTCTTTAGATCAAATCATATTTTGTACATTTCCCGTTTCATCTGAGCAGTTCGTCGTTTTCTGGAAAAGCTTGTTTTAAATAAATTTATATTTTTAGGCCCACAGGGCCTAGTCATTGCAAACTTAGTGCTGTGGAAAAATAAATAAAAAAGTTGATAAATGCTGCTCTCCGTGAGCAACCACATAGGAAGCGGGAGCGT